TTCGATTCTCACCAAAGGCAATTGAACCACATTATTGCTAACCTATTGTGAGACTAAACTCACCTCTTCCCCCTTAATGTAGATAATATCGATTGTTCAAAAAAGTTTGTTGGTCAGACCTTAAGTTACACAAGAATCCCCTATCCCACCTCATGCATGTAGGGTGTACTTGGCAAACAAGTTGTGTTTGTGTCATACTCATTATCTTAACAGATCGTGTTATGTTAAATCTACTATCTTAACGGGTTCTTGATAGGCGATCCAATATGGACCCAACTCGTTAATGGATCATCTCAGTTTAATGGGTCATGCAAGAAACTATCATGCCTAATGTCTAGACTTGGCAAACGGGTCTTCGTGTCGTCTACGTGTCATACCCATTATCTTAACGAGTGGCCAGATAAAGACCCGCCTCATTAACTAGTTAACAAAGAACCTATTATTTTCGTGTCATTTAGTGTTAGGCTAACTAGTCGTGGTATATATTGCCAGAGCTAATGTGGTGACCCGATCAAAAATAATTTGTGGACATGCATACGACTAGTTGGACACAAGAACCTCTTGTTTTTAAGGTTATTGTCATCATTTCACTCGACTACAAAATAGGTTTAATAGTTAAAAATTTATGAAAAAACAAAATTTAAAAAAAAAAAAAAACTAAAGTGAAATTGTTGAGTTTTTTTCTTTGAGAAAAAAAAACCACGTAAACACCTGTTTTAACTGCAATAAAATGGGCATGTATTGAGTTAATTAACTTCAACTTTCAAGTACTCAAGTTGTGAAAATGACATGTATCCTAAGATGGGATAGGTTTTCTTGAGAATAAGAGCAACGTCAAAGATTAAGACTCCGGCTAGGAGAGAGTGGATAAGAGAGCAACAAAATGAGGTTCAAAAAAAAAAAAGAATTGCATGCCATTTAAACTTTGAGGGTGACTATCACCTCCATTTGCATCAGAGGAGTATCCTGGAGAGATTTGATTATGATGTATTTGTTTTAATGTAGTTTGTTGCCTTTCTTAATGTTGTAGTTTGTTTGTGTTTATGCTTATCCAAAAATATTGTACTTTGTGTTATTGATAAAGAAAAAAATGTTGTGCTTTGTATTCAATTTTCTAGGTTAAAAAAATTCATAAAAAGTGATGAAATTTAAGATAACACACACATAAGTGATGAAATCTAATTTTGTCAAAATTTGAATTTTTTAGTATTGAAAAGTTTATAAAAAGATTTAAGATAACACGTCCAAAAATCAACTCAAGAAATGTTAAGATAAAAATAAAATTTATTGCGTTATCAAATTACTACAGAAATAAATATATAGCCCCATATAGAGCCCAAAAAATATATAGCCCCTCATCGGGAGAGATTATTTTTAATAAACAATATTATCTACACTAAAGAGGAGAGGGTGTTTTTAGCCTCACAATGGGCTAGCACGGAGAGATTCTTTTTTAAAGTCCCAAAGATTCATAGGACCTCTAAATTGGCCTATATCAACCACTTTTCTAGTCTCATATAGAGCCGTCATTGGGGATGCTCTAAGATATTATGAGAAGTATAAGTGACAAATAGTGGCAAAACATGATATTTGGGTGTTATTGTAAAAACATTTCATTTATATCGCAATTTCTCAAAACTGGGAAAGTTCAGGTCCATTTGTGCAATTTTTCATTTGTTTTGGTCATGTATTAATTAAATTAAATCAAAATTGAGTGCTGCGTTGGCAGTAGCCCGTAGGGTTTTCTTAATGTTAAGACATAAAAGTCCAAAGCGTTATTTTAATTTGTGGGCAAGCAGACCGCCGATATACGATTTAGGTCAAGGGTAGAATGGATTTTCAAGCTTCCCAATAAGCGCTCATGTTTTAGTTGTGTTAATCTCGGTACGGTGACGTTTCTTCTGCTGTTATATTTTGATAGGGCGTGTTTGGTGGCGGGTGGAACGTTGGCGGGGTCAGGGTCAAAACATTTGGCTTGAGGAAGAGTTAGAGCATCTTAATGGTGGTTTTATCCTCCATAAAGCTACTACATTTTAAGTCTTAGAACATCTCCAAATAAGATATCAAAATTTTCACGTAGGCATACAACAATGAAAAATGGCAGCAAGCTCTCTCCAACCGAGCCTTCAATTTCTTAGGTGGCGCTAAGTCATTTGAAGGCAAAGCCTTTTACTGTCAAATTTGACAGCAGTTGTCAAATTTATTAAATGATATTTTGATAGATTAATATAATATATAATAAATGTTGTTATGTTTTTTAAATATTTGATTGGTTCCCTTAATCATTGGACTCCACGAAAAGATAAAAAGTTTATTAAATAACATTATTATTTAACATATCGGGTGGAGGAAAATATTATACAAAATGTCAAATTGCCACATAAGCTATCAACTATCATTTTGATGTAGCGAGAAATTTCATCCCCTGTGGGGCTAGATTCACCACTAAGGCTATCAACTTCATTTTTTGGGTAGCATAAAAATGGGCTATATCTCGCCCCAAAAAACAGTCGGTCCCACAGAAAAAGTAGTAACCTACGTGAGCAAAATTATATCACTATCTCTCTACTTGTGAATACACTTATACTGTCCTTTTATTCCTTCTTTTTTTTTATTTCTTTTCTCTTACATTTTTTTTTTTTTTTGCAATTTGGCAAATTAATGATTGTTTTAAATTTCATAAGAATTAAAACTTTCAAAATGATTTAATGTTCATGGGCATTGATGGGTGAAATTTTCAAATAAATTTGTTTCAAAATTGTCTAATACTAATTTACCAATTGGTGCTAGGTAAATTGTTATGCTATACATGAAAATCAAATTATTTCAGAGGGCGAAGGGGGAGTTTGTATCTTTTAATAGATGAGATTGAGATAAGAGAATATAATCCAATGAATGATTCATAAGTAATAAAATCTAACTTTATCACAATTTGAACATTTTTAGGTTGAAAGATTCATAAAACAAAAAAAACAAAAACAAAAAGATAACACGTCCAAAAATCAACTTAAGTAAAGTTAACACAAAAAAAAAATCATTGCATAATCAAATTACTACATAAATAAATAAATATAGCCCTATATAGAGCTCGAAAGAAATTGCCCCTCATTGAGAGAGATTCTTTTATAAAGCCCTAAAGATTCCTTTGACCTCTAAAATGGACCATATCTACCACTTTTCCAATCTCATATAAAGGCCCTCACTAGGAATACTCTTTGAATGAATAAGCTGGTTGTTAAGTGGGAATTGGGAATCATTCAGGGATTTTGTTTTTCCTCAACTGCTTTTAGACGTTTGAATTTCCCTATTATTTATGAATTTTTTTACATTACACAGCGTATGGAGCGCACCGATATTTGAAACACGATTGCAACGGTCAAGATCCAGACGTGCAAATCCAGCTACTCAACTTTAATTATAGTTTGAGGCAAACTACCGATCTTATAAATTTCAGCATGGGACTCTAATCAAAAACTCATCAAACCCGGCTTTGTTCTGAAGCATCGTAAACTAAGGCGATCCACTCGACCCTTTTGGTGTGATTGTGGGCGTACCATAACGTCACTTGGAATAGCTAGAGTAGAAATTTGTGATTAAAAAGGCCAAAAAAAAAAAAAAGAAGTTGGATGTGACGGATAAAATATTATTGTGTCATTTGAGCGATTTAGAAACAAACAAAAGAACCTTCGCTAGTTTTAGATCCCTCGAAATAAATGACAATAATATATAATCGGATAAAGTAAAGTGCACCGAAGTAAACCTAAATCCATTCCAAAAGCAAAAGGAAAACATTAATTTAAGATAAAATTAATCCGAACAAGAATGTAAAATTATTCTACCAATTGAAAGTAGAATTACTAGTTTTTTAGTGACGACATCCTACCTCCAATAAGGTTACTAGTATTTGTTTGGACAAATGGGACAGCGCGATAAGATTTATACAAAGATATGTTTTACAAATAACACATAGTTTTCTAATGTAGTGAGTCAAATTTGAAACTACCTCCGATTAAAGTGGAAACAACTACCACCCTAAATTAAACAGTCCTTAGTGGTTTGCGGATGCAAATTGAATATTTGATATTTTCTTCGGGTTAGATATGCAACCTAGTCACGTAATACAACATGTTTTAGATTGTTTCTCTGTAAACCACTTTTATTTACAATTACTTTTGCTAAAAATAATCTTATTAGCAAGTACTAAAGTTTTTCATTGGTTAAAAAGGACAAGGCAAATCTAGGGTTGCCATGCTTTATAGTTTGCTGACGCATGCAATGAAATGTCAACGAAGATTTTGTAGGGAAGAGGAAAGAGAAATGGAGAAATTAATTAATTAACTCATTTAATAAAGTTTTTGTTTAAGATATTGAAACGTGACGCAATCATAGTCTCTCTACCACTTACCATAACTTCGTCCACGTCACCAAGATTCTAAATCTCGTTCAGTGGAGGGAGCATTAGATTCCTCATATTATCTCGCCATACTCCTTTTATTTACATTGTCATTGTCTAAATTAATTTATCGGAAATTAACGGGCACGCATTTACTGCCTTTCCCAATCCTAAGAAAGAAAGGAAAGTAGGAATATTGGCTTACAGAAATATTTTTATGATCATCTCGTGATTAAAGAATACATGATTACTCACGTTCAGATAATATCGAAAACAGTTTATTAATGATCACATCTAATGTTTTAATTCTCGATTTCAGCCCAAAATAAAAAAAAAAAGGCCCGTTATGGTGGGCTTGTAAAATAAGCAGAAAAAAGGCCCAAGAATCTCCAATCCGACAGAAAAAACAGCGAAAGTTATTCTGGTCATCTCACCTCGTCTTTCAAAAATACAAGCGTCAATGTCGTCCCTCCAACGATTTTCATTTTTTATTTCCCGTCGCAGTAAACCAGTCGTCTTCCTTCGAATTCTCGGAAGGCAGTTTCGGCCACCATCGTCCGCCCGGCCCGGCTGACCGACCGACGGTTCAGATTGCTGCGCGGCAGAAATGGGGGGGATTGGTTTGCTCGCGTCGGATTTGGTAATCTCGTTTATGTGGGTATGGTCGGGGGTCCTGATTAAGATCTACGTGTTTAGCTTTCTGGGGTTTGGCCACGGACCCAGCGGTGAGATTATCAAGTGCGCCCTTTCGATTTTGAACATGTTTTTCTTTGCGTTGCTGGGTAAGGTGACCAACGGTGGCACCTACAATCCTTTGACCGTGTTGATCGGCGCGTTCACCGGGGGCTTCAGGCGCTTTCTTTTCACTGTTGCTGCCAGAATCCCTGCTCAGGTGACCCCCTTTGACTTGTTGATGGTTTGTTTGGATAGAGAGAAAATTATAACTAAAATAACGGAATCTAGATAGAAAATTTTGTCTGGATAGATGGAAAGTCGATGATCTTCTTTTACCTCTCTTCAGGTTATTGGCTCTATTGCTGGGGTTAGGTTCTTAATTGCGACCTTTCCCGAAATAGGTCTGGGGCCTCGTTTGAACGTTGACATCCATCGAGGTGCTCTTACAGAAGGATTGCTGACGTTTGCAATTGTTACTATCTCGCTTGGACTCGCCAGAAAAATCCCTGGGAGTTTCTTCACGAAGACGTGGATTTCCAGTGTTTCTAAGTTAACTCTTCATATTCTTGGCTCTGATCTGACTGGTGGTTGCATGAGCCCAGCCTCTGTAAGTACCTACAACGATTCTTCACGTCTGTAAATCTGTTTCGGCTTGCTGAGATTTAATTTACGAAACTTGAATCCACTAAACCTGAACTTTGTGGACTTTGGCAGGTGATGGGATGGGCTTATGCTCGCGGCGACCATATTACCAAGGAGCATATCATGGTTTACTGGCTTGCCCCGATAGAGGCCACTCTGCTGGCAATATGGACATTTAGGGTTGTCGTTCCACCAGTCCAAGAGGAGAAGGTAGAAAACAAGGCTAAATCAGAATGAAGAAATTCCACTGCATTTCTCCATGTCTTACGGACGTTCTAACCTGTCGACATTTAGAGAAGATCGACGATGGTTGAATTAAGCAAGTTTCTCCTGTATATGAAATCATTGTGCCTTTGAATTTGTTATCTATGAAATGGAGGGTTCGGCCCTTCCCCAGCTTAGCATCCATAACAAAAGATGTTCTCTTACTAGTCTTGATTTCTCAAACAGAAAGGCTGGTGGCATGTTCATGGTAGTGCGAATCAGTAACCCAGCTACTTCCGACTTCCTTAACCAGTCCTTTCGTCTCCATTACACTCCTGAATTCATCTACAGAATCCCACCTTCCGATGGTTGCATAAAAATTCGATATCAGAACATAATTCCCGGGCTTATCGGGCTCTAACTGCAGAAGATGCTTAGCAGCAAGCTCACCCCTTTTAACATCCAGATTAAGGCTACAAGCATTCAACAATGCTGACCAGACTGCTGCTGTAGGCCTAATGCCATGCTTAACCATATCATCAAACACACACCACACTTCATCTATCTGACCGGCTCGGCCTAACATATCCATGAAGCAGACATAGTGCTCCGGAACCAGGCCCAGACCATGCTTCTCTATCGCCAAATTAAAACACTCTCGACCTTGCTCCACCAGCCCTGAGTGCCCACAAGCTGAGAGAACAGCAAGAAAAGTCACAGAATTCGGCAACACTCCAGTTCTTTCTTCCCCCATCTTGTTGAACAGATCAAGAGCTTCAACCCCATTCCCATGACTTCCATATGCATCAATCATGCTTGTCCACGAAACCACATCTTTATTACGAATTCCATTGAACAAAGATCGAGCATTCAAAATTTTCCCACACTTTGCATACATGTCCAGCAAAATATTGCACATTTGGGTATCGGATATGAACCCATGACGCATTGCCACGCAGTGTATCTGCTTCCCAATCCACAAATTCGAATTCTCTGAGCAAGCAGCAAGAGCGCTAGTAAGTGCAATTACATTCGGTTTCATGGCGGACATAATCGACAATGCCTCTTCATACTTCTTGTTTCGAACACACCCGGAAACTAGAGAATTGAAAATGACATCATCCTTTCGACAATTCAAGCTCGAGAACACTTTCATGGCTTCACTCATACATCCAACAGCAGAGTAGAAATCAATCAAAGCGGTGCCCAAAATCACCATATCGCGGCCCATCACAACCACCATCCCATGAACCTGCTTGCCTTGTCGAAAGGCCTTGGAAAAGGCACAAGCTTTAAGCAGAGAACACATAGTGAACTCGCTGAACTCCACTCTTTCCTTCCTCATTGCTTGAAAAACACCAACCGCTTCTCGGGCAAGCCCATGCCTTAAAAAGCTCGAAAGCAAAGCGTTCCAAGTCACAACATCCTTGAACTCCATCTCCTCAAAGGCTCTGACAGAGTCCTCCAAAAACCCATATTTGGAGTACATGTCCATGACGGCAGTCTTTGCCACGGTTCCTGACTCGGAGCCACTTTTGATCATCAGGCAATGGACTTGCCTGCCACGTTCAGGGCGGGGAAGAGCCCTGCAGGCACCAAGCACCGGAGTGAAAGTGTAGGCATTGAGGTCGGATTTCAAGCGATGAACGCGGCAGAAGAGAGCCCATGTAGAGGAAAATTGTCCGTTGCGAGTGTAAGAGGCGAGCAGGGAGTTGAGCGAGTAGATATCTCTGTGAGACGTTTCATCAAACAGGTGGTGGGTGTGGAAGCCATTGAAATAGCATTTGGCGGGAAGGTGGAGGGAACGTATAGGACGAGTTAGGGCGGCCATCAATTGGGGTGAGGGAACGTCTTACATCTAAGGTTATACTCTCTCACTGGCACTCTCGGCTTGCTTCCTTCTCCAACATGTTAGGATATGGAAGCCAAGTCTTATACGGCGTTATTAAGGAAATATAGAGCCGGAAGAGACGCCGCATCCACATGGCTCATCAAATTGTTTATTGTTATTCGAACTTAGAAAAAAATATAAACTTAACGAGATTATTCATATTGAGTGAAAAATCATAATAATTTTATTTGAATTCGTCTTTATGAAAATTAAATTTACAATTTCTTACTTACAAATAGAAATTTCCTTAAACTATAGAACTAAATAATCTTGAAAAAAATAATTACGCGAAAATGCTAAAGAGGGCACGTACTTTTTATCACATTCATGTACCACATGATGTTGCATGTGATGTGTACTTGACACGTGAATTAATAAGTTCATGTCATTGAATGTTTGTTATGTGTCACTTGTCACATCACATTGTACATGAATATTGGTAAAATAATATGAACAAGGATTATCTCCCTCCTTTTTTTTTTCCCTCCTCTCTTGTTTGAATGCTCAGGATTTTCCCTCCCCTCCTGTTTGAATGCTTAGGATTTCATCTTGCAGGGAGAGAGAAGAAAAAAGTAAAGAGCAGGGAAAAAAAAAACTGTGAAAAGAGGGAAGGGGGTGGAGGGAATCACCATCTAAAAAATATGGTCTCCCTTACATTACTCTTATTGATTGAATACAAGAAACACATGACTCATTGACGTGCGAGCATCATACAACATTTACTTTCCTTTTTTAGTTAAAAATACATGAAAGTTGATATTGACATTTCAAAATACACTCATGCTCGGGGAGACAACGCATTTTTTATGACGTAAAATTGACCTAAACCCTAGTGCAGAAAAGAGAACATGGGCAGTACAGTAGACATTTAACAATTTACAACAACCAAATGTATAGAAGCAAAGACAGATACAATCATAATTAGTAGCAGTATAAAATGATAGAGATCAACAAGAAAAGGGTCAAACTCCAGCAGTTATACATCATGAGGCGTCATGATTGTCACATGCAAAATAGTCATCTGTAAGCCTCTCTAGCTTTTATAACTCAATTTTTGTCTTTAAGTTTGGTCGGGTGGAGATTTAAGATGTTCCTTCTTTTTATTTATTATACATGCCTTTACTTCAGAGAGAATGTGCCCGTTGGTCTTCCAAATTTTGAACATACAACCACCATATTTCATTCAATTATAATTTACCCAACAAGGATTCTTTTGAGCCAAGGATACATAATTACTCGCGGTAAAAAAAAAAATCAAATTACATAAAATTTGCATGCGTAAAAGCCGGCGCTACCGCTCTTCGGAGTTGAATTTGTTCCAAGCTTCCTGTATTAAACCAGACCAACGAACAAAATCAAACAAGTGAAGAAGAAGAAGCACAACTAGAAATCACTCAAGGCACAAACAGACAACTGCACTTGACGCACCTTTAGAAGATCGAAAACTTTCTCGCATATGTACTTCTGGTGAATGCTTGCACCCCGTTGTTGTAATTTGTCAGGATGAACGCATAGAGTGGCTTTCCGGTAAGCTCTCTTTACTGCTGCAGCCGTTATGACTTCTGTCAAGGGAACAGGCTGCCAACCACTATCAGCCCCAAGGATCTGTCAATGAAAAACGTCTAGTCAATTAACCATTTGATTGAGCCTAGCTCTATGCAACTGAAGATAACAGGTTCATTCGCTGATACGTTCTATTTTTGTTAAATTAAACTCAAGTGATCAAGGAAGTCAATGAAGAATGAATGCCCAAACGTATGCAGATCAGTAACACCTACATATTGCAAAGTTGAAAGTAATGCACGCAAGTTGCCTTCTTTTCCACTTGACCACCTCCTGACTTCTGCATCCAGAGTCTCGGCTAATCTCTGCAAACAGAATTAGATCCGAGACAATCAGCGAGAAATGAAACAACAATTCGAAGTCATAAAAGTTCATTTAATGTGGAGAGAATAATTACATTTCTCTCTGCTTGCTCTCTTTGTGCAAGAAGATCGCGCGTATTCTTCTCCGCAAGAGCTTTTGCCTGAAACAGTCCCAGAAAGCTTGGAATTATAATGCCGGGTAAGACTAAACCACTCATAGATTATAAATGATTTAAAATCATACCGCTCGTTCAGCTGTTCTAGCATGCCTCTCTAGCCTAGCTTTACACCTTTGGGCTGATTCACCTTCCACCACCTCATATCTCTCTGTAATAGAAAGTTTTGAAAAAAGAACAAAAGTTTAGAGCCAACCGATCAATAACTCAAATATTGATGGAAACTATGAAAAGTTCAAAGAAAGTTTGCTTAAATAACCATTGGAGCATTAAAAATCACGTACCACCATATACTGAGGAATATGGATATCTTGATCCCCTAGTGCTGTCCGGTAGATCCTATGAATTACCAGCCAGTTCAGATCGCTGTTTGACAATATGAATTAATTAAAAGGATGATAAATCCAGCAGGAAAAAAAATATACTCACCGACGATGAAGAGCAGTGCCTTAAGCCAATATTTGTAGACGAAGTATAGAATTTATCAGAAACAGATCTTTGCACACGCTCTCTTGCTTCATATACAGCCCTTTCAGCCATTGCTTTTTCTGCAGCACGCTCTCGAGCCTCTGCAGTTGCTCTCTCTACTGCGGCACGCTCTGCCTTGAGCCTGGCCTCCATGGCTGTCATCCCTGCTAATGACTTCTCCCTGGCCTCTGCACATGCCTTCTCCAGTCTTTCACGAGCCTCTGCCATTGTTCTTTGTCGAGCTTCAGCTGATGCTCTCTCAATAGCAGCTGATTCTGTCCTATCACGGGCATCCAAAAACGGCCATTCACGAGCTTCAAGTGTCGCTCTATCAACAGCCATCCTATCTTTTTCTCTTTCTCTCTCCCTTTCTCTTTCTTCCTCTATCTTTCTAAGGCGCTCATTTTCAAGCTCTCTTTCTCTTTTCAATCTTTCATTTTCTTTTTCCCCATTTTTAACGGTCTCCTTAAGACTCTTCTCTTTTCTCTCTGGTGGCTGACCTGCATTAAATTGCCCAGATGATTTCTGGCTGTTTAATTCTGTCATGGCTGGATGAGCTGCTGCTGTTTTCCTTTTATTTTCAACAAACTCTCTCACCAGTTTAGGTGTCGAGTATTCTTTCTTGTTTTCTTCTCTGATTGAGGCAGCTTCAACTTCCTTTAAGTCCTTTTTAGCTTCATGATCAAAATCCATTTGATTAAATTGCTCAACCCGTGGTGGTCCAAAGCGACTGCCAGGTTCTCCGGCTTTCTTCATGTGAATGTCTAAAGGAACCGACTCATAGGCATCTTCCACAGCAACTTGGCTATTTCCTTCTTGTGTGCCTTGCTGGGCCATGCCAGATTCTTTGAGCTTTTCATCAACCAGCACATTGTCGATTTCAAATGCCCCCAATTCCCCTTTGCTAGCTTTAGGTTCAGCCCTAATTTCTTCACTTGCTTTCTTGACACTGTCATCTACGGGAAGAGACTCACTGGCATCTTCCCTTTTGAACCAGTTCTCTCCATTTTCTAAATGGTGTGCAGATGCGTCAGATGCTTTAAGCTCCAAATCAATTAGCATGCTTACTCGTACTACTTCTGGCTGTGTATCACTATTGTTGTGTTCAGTCCTTTTCTCTCCATTTCCTTCATGAGCAGGGACTTCTTGTGTTGCTGCCACTGTTTCACTGCTTTTATCATGCTTATTGGATAGTTGAGTCGCTTGAGAGTTCTGATTACAATCCTGGTTACATGTATCACCAGATACCCTGAGATCCTCCTGTTTCATGTACAAAGTCTGACCGTTTTCATTCCTCTCTGTCCCCTCATTTGTTGTGTTTAGGACATTCAGTTCTTCCCAGTCACCAGCAACTTTAACAGTCTTCCCAGTCTGTTCTGACTCATTAGCCTCTTCTAACGTGCTTTCAGTTCTAACTTGCCCAAAAGTTTCATTTAATCTTCCCTCAGTTCCTTCTTTGTCCTGAGCCTTCATTAATCCATTTATGTCATATTGCTGCTCACAAGCATGGGCCATTTTTATTCTTTGCTCAGCTTCCTTTCTTTCACAGGCATCTTGTTGTCTCTTCTCATATTCTTCCCTCTCGAGAGCTTCTTTTATCCGCTTCTCATATTCTTCTATTTGAGCAGCCTCTTTCTGTTTCTTCTTATTTTCCCGTTCAGCAGCCTCTTTTAGTTTCTTCTCAGTCTCTCGCAACTCAAGAGCTTTTTTCAGCCTTTTCTCATTTTCTACCTGCTCAAGAGCAACCTCCTTTAACCTCATCTCATTTTCTTCCTGCTGAAGAACCTTTTTCAGTTTCTTCTCATTTTCTGCTTGTTCAAATGCCTCTTTAAGCCTTTTTTCCTTCTCTTCCTGCTTCAAAGCTTCTTCTTGTCTCTGTTCAAAACTTTTTGTGCCACGAGATTCCTTGAGTCTTTTGTCACTTCTAATTCTTTTATCATTTACCTTCTGCTTCCTGGCCTGCTCTTGAACCTCCAGCACAATGTCATGCTTTTCTGATTTTTCAGCATCTCTTTGCTTCTCAGGTTCTGCAGGTAGAGTCCCCATTCTAGAACTCATCTCATGCTGTCCGTTCTCACGAATTTTTCAGCCACTTTCACCTTTTTGTCATGCTCTTTTCGACTGCATGCCTCATTAGACGCTTTGGGTCTTGCATTGCATTCCTCCCATCCACGAGGTTGCTTCTCTGGTTCCTCTTCAATAACTACTTTTACTTTCTTATCGATTTCTTCTTTCTGCTCTAATGCTTCCATGGTTGCCTTTTCTTTATGCCTGTTCTCGTGACTTTTTCCGCTCTGAACCAAAATCTTCTCTTTGTTTTCCTGCTCAAAAGCCTTCTTGGACTCATCAATTGCCGCCAATTCAAAATATTGTGTCTCTTCCTGCCATTCATTAGCGTCATCAATTTTGAAAGACCCATTCCCATGCTTCTCTTGTTCAAAATGTTTAGCCACATTTAATAATATTTCATCTTCTAAAAATTCTGGAACTTCTTTGGTCGTCTTTGAAGATTTCCGCCTTTCCTTCTTAACAACAAATTTCATTCTACCATCTTCTCGTACAGAAGTGCCCTGCACTCCCTCATCTTTCACACCATCGCAGTCATCAACAATTTTACCCACCATTCCTTCCTTCTCTTTCATTTC